GAACCCTGGGAAGGCTGGAGGCCCCCTATTTCAAAATAAGTGTCTACACAGCACTTATTTTGAAATAGCTATTTCAAATTTGGCATTATTCCTTGTAGAATGAGGTTTACCAAATTCGATGTAAGTGCTCTGCTATTTTGAATTTATTTCGAAATAGCGGTTTGGCTGTGTAGATGTTAGGAAAGTTATTTTGAAATAAGGGCTGTTATTTCAAAATAACTTTGCTGTGTAGACATAGCCTCTGTTACAAATACTGGTTAAACTATTAATTATTATAAATATTAAGAATAATTATCAATAATAATAATAATCTTTTTTGGAAGCATCCAAATGCGCTACATACTGTGCAAACACAAACATAGGAATGACCATTGCTACAATGAGCTTATGTTGTAAGGCTCTAGATATGCAATCAGCTAAATGCAAGAAGACCCCTGTGTCTGCACAGAGCTCTATTAGCTTCAGGGAGTTGTCTAAGAAAAGCACATTAAGCTCCAGTCCTGTAATGAAAAAGATTCAATTAGTGTTAAAGAAGATTTCTGGATTGACCAAGTTGATAAGAGAGTAAATAATAAAACAGAAAAATGAACAGAGATGTTGCTTTGTGGAACTGCATGTTCATGTTTCCTTATATGTAAAGTCACAGATTTACATTTGTTTAGCCAGACACATAACTAGCCTGTGTGTGCCTTTAGAAGACTTGCAGTTGGTATCGAGCTGAATAGGCATAAAAGAGGTAATGGATCTGTGTATGGAAAGTGTGCACACTAGGATACTTCAGCATGTGTCCATGGATTCATCAGCACCCACAGGAGAAATTAAGCTTAAGGGTGCCAAACCTGAGTGATGATGTGACCAGTGTTCCCGCAAAGATTTTCCATCTGTGAGCGGAGTGAATTTTGTCTTGTGCACCAAATATTAATGTTGTGCACTTGTTCAGATGTGTGCCACCATTGGCACATTCCCTTGCAGCCACTTCCTACCCTGCAGCTGGGCCCCAGGGAGCTCAGATAAGCTTTGGGCTGGACCCTGGGAACTAGCATCTCAGCAACAGTGGTCCCATGTCTCTTCTCGAGCAGCTGGGACCACAGCCCAGGGAGATTCCTCGCCTGGTCTAATGCAATAGGCTGTGGAAAAGGTGATTTTCAGCCCCTCCTGGTGACTCACACTTTAGCCTGAGGGGCTGCCTTGAGCCAAATGACTTGGGGAAGTTCTTTGATTTTCCCCGGGGGCGGGGTGTGTGTGTGAGTGTGAGTGTGAGAGAGAGAGACAGCCCCTGGCCAGAGCTGCGAGGGGTGCTGCCGGGGGAAGATATGAGAGAGCATGGGACCTACACTGGAATACTGACTACACTGATATGGACCAGCGGGTTTGAACACCTTGCCTCACCTGCAGCTTCCTCCAGACACCACAAAATCATTCCTTCCTCTCTCTCTCTCCCCCGCCCCCGGGTTCCTTGGGTCTTTATGGCCAGAAGCCTGGTCAATAAACCACCTAGAGCCAGACAAAAAAAAAAAAATCCCCAGAGGCAGCATCCACCCAACAGCCATGTGGCCCCAATCCCTGGCAGCAGCAGCTGCCTGCCAGCTACGCAGCACCAATCCCCAGTGGCAACCGTCTCCCAAAGTGGCCTCAGCCCTGGTTACAGTCATTTCCCAACATGGCCTTATCCCTAGAGTGCTCCCTCGGCCCCAGCCCCAGTCCCACCCCCCATGCAGCCTTGCCCCAGTCCCAGCACATGGGGCAGCTATGTTGGATATACTCTGATATCAGGATTAAACAGCAGTAAAATTTAGAACCCCACAAATTAGTGGATATAGCTTTATATCTGTGAGTATCAGCATCTGCAGATGTGCATATCCACAGATCAGTTATGCAGATGTCAATTTTATATCCACACAGAGCTCTAATTAAATCTTCATTTTTATCATTTAAGTCAGACCATGTGATTGACTACACACACAAGCTCAAAATTTAGGCAGCAAAAAACAGGCTGAGTGCCTAGGCTCTACACTACCCCACTTTGTTCAAGTGGGATGATAATATAATGGAACCAGGATTTTACAATCTAGATTGGATTTAATATAGGTAGGAATGATGGCAATGGGAAAAAGAAAAGAGCATGGGAGAATGAATGATATAATAGTGAAAATGCCCCTATTTCCCCATTCTAACTGGAAGGTGGAATGTTCATAAAAATAAACAAATGCATACAATTCAACATCTCAAAATTACAAGAAGTACAATATGTACGTTGCAGCATGCTACTTTCTTCTCATCCTTTAAACCACTTCAAAGCAATTTAAAATATACCAAAGGCATCAGAATGTGAATGGATGTTAACTCGTTCTTCATCCACATCACTTTGGTCATGACATTTCCACCAGGAAAAATGGTTTAGATAAGTGGTTGTTCATAAGACTGGTGTTCAGAAAATCTAAATTCTACTGTAATTTACATATATATCTTTGTTGCTTACTCTTGTGAATATTTTTCCCTTGCCCAGGGGAAACAGCCATAATATTCAGTGATGTCCTTAATATCAAAGACATTGACATTAATGCCCTTCAAACTTGCCTCTAAGACATCACAGAGAACTTCATCAAAAATGTTAATGAACACTTCATCCTTCACTGATTGCAGACTTGTGGTGCTGTAGTCACCATTAGGAGCTCTATCAACACAAAATATTAGTGATTAATAAAGAATACAACAAAACTATACTGTGTTAAACTTTACATTTGTCTACACATTCAAACAAGAATGTTACTCATGGACACACTGTGAAGCTCAAAACCAATAACTTGTTTTCATTTACTCATACCTAAAAGGAAGTTCAAGTTCCTCATTCCAGTTGGGGTTTGGCCCTTCTGCTGTTGTGGTCCTGCAGACAGATCGCTGAAAAGAAACTTCTACAAAAGGACGGACTAAAACCTTCAATATAAAATGAAAATAAAAATAGACAATAATATTTCAGAACATTTGTAAATTGTCAATTTTCAAAATATGTAATAAAATGAAAATAATATATGAAGGATGTGTTAGGTTTGTGCCTTCCCTTGACAAACACAACCTTCATTCTGCATTTAATGGGCTTCTAACATTTTAGAGGACTGATTATATTTGCATCTCTAACATTCTTGAAAAGAAATATATAGTCAATCTATGTGTGTCCATGGTCTTAAATTTCATCTTAAGCTTTTTTGTTTAGGATTAAGCCTGAATTAAAAGCATCTACCAGACAGGTTCAAATTTAACAACAAGCAAAGGGTACGTCTAGACTACAGCCTTTTGTCGACAGAAGTTTTGTCGACAGACACTGTCAACAAAGCTTCTGTCGACAAAGAGCGTCTAGACTACATCCAGTTCTGTCGACAAAGCAAGCCGCTTTGTCGACATGACAGTGTAGACACAAAGGACAGTGTAGATGCAATAACGCCTTCTGTCGAGAGAACTCTGTCAACAAAAGGCGTTATTCCTCATAGAATGAGGTTTACAGCCGTCGACAAAACTGCTGTTATGTCGACAGAACTCAGCAGCAGTGTACACGCAGGTATAGTTTTGTTGACAAAAGTCCACTTTTGTTGACAAAACCCTGTAGTCTAGACACATCCAAAGACTGCTAGTTACCTGAATCAGCAAATTAAAACAGCAGATAGAGTCACATATTCTAATTGAAAGATGTTAATTTTTGTCTTAGGAATAAAACTTGTTGATGCTATTACATTTCACTCTGTATCTGGCTTTTCTTCTGTTTCAGTTAAATTTCAAATTAGAAATAGCAAAAGCCTAAGGGTATGTCTACACTGCAACTCTAGTTCGAACTAGGGTGGCTAATGTAGGCATTCGAACTTGCAAATGAAGCCCGGGATTTAAATATCCCGGGCTTCATTAGCATGTTCCCAGGCGCCGCTATTTTTAAATGCCCTGTAGTTTGAACTACCTGCCCATGGCTACACGCGGCACGGACTAGGCAGTTCGAATTAAAGCTCCTAATTCGAACTACCGTTATTCCTCTTGCAAGGAAGCCGTGTGCAGGTAGTTTGAACTACGGGGCATTTAAAAATGGCGGGGCCAAGGAACATGCAAATGAAGCCTGGGATATTTAAATCCTAGCTCGAACTAGGGTGGCAGTGTAGACATACTCTCATATTATTTTTAAAATGTGCAAAAGAAGAATTTCTCTAGTATTCAAAAGCATGAAAGGAACAGCACAACATTTAAAAAAAATCAGGACAGGATAGTGTTTCTAAAAAAGGGCACATGCAAAAACAGTGGGCCTCCATCCTCTCCCTTTAGGATACTAAATTTGGCTCCGAAATGCTATCGAAAATTTAGTCTCAAATTTCAACTTCAATTAACTTAAATTGCAGAAAGGGAAGTTTAGGTTGGGCATTAGGAAAAACTTCCCGTCAGGGTGGCTAAACACTGGAATAAATTGCTTATGGAGGTTGTGAATTCTCCATTGTATGCACATTATTATAATGCATTATTAAGTGCCTAGCAAAGTACTAATGTGCAAAATGCATCAGCACTGTCAGACCTGTTAATACTGCCTCAGTTGCACCAGAATTAGACTGGAGAATACTTTTTAACAAGTATTAGTAATAATTTTATTTGTTTTTTAAAATATGTGTGCGCAGCAGTTTTTCAAATTCTTGTTAAACATCATGTCCCCCCTCCCTTGATTTGCCTGCTATACTATGGGCTAAAATTACCACATTTAATACACAAATATGCAAATAAATTAATTACCATGAGGAATATGAAAATATTTCAGAGACAGTCTGCCAATGGTTTTTAATGAGTTTGTTGGTCCACGGTATAAAAATGGTTGGGAACCACTAACCTAGATGGTGCTTGGTCCTGCTGAGAGTGCAGGGGACTTGAGACCTGATGACTTCTCAAGGTCCCTTCCAATTCTAGTATTCTATGATTCTGATAATACTAGATAACTAGTCAATGTGACTACATAGAAGAAAAAGAAACCCAGCCCCATATGACCAAAATACCATTCAATATATGTTAATATTATACTGTACCTGGTTGAAAGCCCAATCAACACTATGGGTTGGGCTCTGAAGTGATGGAGAAGCTGCAAACATCTCATTAAAGGACCTTGAAGATCTGGATGGCTGCTGAAGCTTGCTAGAAAGGAAAATATATAACTGTGACAGAGAACATGAAAGAGAAAAATTACTTACTTTATAGTAATTGGAGATTATTCAAGATGTATGATTTTTGTATGTACAGTAAACTTCCCATAATCCGGCACCTTTAGGACCCAGAGTGTGCCGGATTATAAAATATGGCGGACTATCGGAAGGGGGGGTTATGAGGGGTCTGGGATGGGGATGCCACTCCAGACCCCTCATAGCCCCCCCTTCCGATAGTCCGGCTCTGCCCCAGGCGTCCCCGATTCAGCCGCTGCTGGTGCGTT